CGGTCGTAGAGGGATGACCGCGAAGCCAAGGTCGACGGAGGGCACGTGGCAGATTTCGAAGAAATCGGGTGGTTGCTAGGAGACATCGTAGGGGAGTGAAACGTATAAAATAAGCGAGGGCACCGGGCCCGCGGCTTCATTCTCTTATATTTGTTGCTACGCACTTCATTCTTTATATTTGTCGTTACGAGGCTTCACTTATAACTTGTCACTACGGGACGTACTTGTTTTGTCATTATGGACTTTACTTTATATTTTGCAAAGATTTTCATTGCGTGATCAAGTATTTCGGCATTTGATTGTAATATTGATGTCTATCACTCGCAGACTGAATTATAATATGTTGTTATACAATAATTGAAATAAACTGTGCGTATTCACCGTCGTAAAAATTGAGTTGTTCTGATACAGTTGAAATATAAAAGGGGACATAGTGAAACAAAACAAGAAAACAAACATACTAAATTTCGCTCATATTGTAATAAAAATAGCCTGTATACGCACTTGCCCCGTTTACGAACTTACTCCACTTTACCTTAATTATAGCTATAATACATATTAAAACAAACAAAGAAAATTAAAATCCTGTCAGTATTTTATATTCAGCGATCCTTGACTATACAAATTATAGTTACTGTAACAACAAAATCTTTTGATCAACCTAATTATAATTAATTATTAATTATTCTTAATTCTCATTTAAACTAATTAAATTAGCCTTGTAATCTAAATGATTGAAAAATGGTGACGGAGTAATTTATAGAATGTAACAATAAACCGACTGTACCTATCTTACGTGGACCTCCACGAATGAGATTCATTTATTAGTTGGATTACAAGGGTGATAGTGCCAATAGACAATTGAGAACAACTGCGTTCGATACGAATTTAATAGATCGACGTGTAACCTGTGGAACTATCCAATTTCCGGTAAGGTTTCCTGTTTATAGTTTCTGCCAAGCGTAGCACGTTCATAGTAATTGGAATAGAGATTTGTTACGGCATTTTAATTAAATCTGAATCCGTATAGGGCAATGCTCAGCTCAAATGTACGAAGAGAAATATCTTTTCTTTCAACAAATCGTTTGTTTGATACGTCAAGGTAAACGACTTTCAGATCATTTATCATTAGTTCAAACAGTTCTATAATTTCATTGATTATTATTATTATTAATTTCTGTATAATATCTTAATTCTAATTACTTAACAAATGGTACCTTTAGTGATATTTAAAGAAAGAATTTCATTTAGTTTACAATGTTTTTTTTTGAAAAACATTTTCTAAACTTTTAGTAATTTTCTGTATCTAGAAAGACTGATAAATAATTTTTCTTATTTAAACAAACGAATGTTTACAGTGAGCTGAGAAATCATTAAAAGAATAATTTAATAGAGAATAACACTTAATTTATTAATTTAATTATTTCTTTTTTGCAACACACTTTGGAAAGTACTTTAAATGTTCTTTACTAAATAATTGCTGTCATAGAAAAATTTGGTGTCTAATGTAATAGTTATTGGAGATAAAAGCGATATAAGAGCGATACACGAATTAGCATTAACATTTGTTTCCATCTAGCGATGTTAATCATCATTGTTTGTTCCTTCTTGTGTTCGCATGTTTCGATTCAATTTTGTTCTCTAATTTTCTTCTCACGTAATTCTGATTGTATTTTATATCGTTCTTAAATAAATAGTTTTTGTGCTTTGTATATAATTAATTACGACACTATTTGTTCACGGATCTCCTCGCCTTCAACAATAGTGACTATGTTGACATAAAAAAATTTATTAGAAAAAAATTATTAAATATTTACTAGAGAAAAAATTCATGAGAATGATAAAAAATATGTAGAATAGGGGAACTATTATTAATTCATTAAATGGATAATGATTCTAATAATATTTTTAGACCATAAAGTATTAAGTCGTTCAAAAATATGGTATAATTATGTAACATATAAAAATTTTACAAAATATTATATTATTTATTATATGTACTTAAGATTATAATTTATTGAGTCTTATTTTTATTTATATCACAGAATACGATTATCTTCGAAATGTTATCAATTATTCCTCATCAATCTATCAATTACCGAATCATAATTGCTACACGATATGTCATAAACATATTGACATGCATCAACAGCATGTATGAAGATCTCTAAACGGATTAAATTTCATGTGCTTAATAATTCAATTTCAATAATTACCGATCAAATGTTCTACTGCATTACAATATATAGTTTCTAAATTTTATACCTTAGTATATGGATTAAATCTTAATAATTGATACATCAAGAAAATATTTCCAGTATCGCTTTGGATGAAAATATAATACACAAGAACTTCAGAAAATAAGAAATTGGAAGTGTAGGAATCTAGCGTTGTAGGAAACTGGAGATATAGAAATCTGAGGATATAGGAAATTGAAGGATATAGAAATTTGATGACATAAGAATATAGGAATATAGAGATTTAAAATTATAGTTATCTAGCGTTATGAGAATGTGGAAGAATAAAAATACAAGAACATAAGGATCTAAAGATTTAGGGTTCTTAGCATCAAGCGATCAAACGATGTAGAGATTTAGGAGTATATGCATATAGAAAAACTTTGAGGTTTACATGTATGTATATAGGACTTTCTATGATTTAATTGTACTGATAATGAGATTTAGAGTCGTAATGATTTTTCAGTATCATGTTCTAGGGATATAAGAACATAGAAATTAAGGATCTCAAGATTTAGTGATCTGATATATGATAATAAGAATATCTAGATTTTAGGATCTAGCGATCTAATGGTACAGGAAATCAGAGTATAGGGATATTAGAATTCACTGACTGAAATATGTAGCTGCATGGTATCGAAACGATATAGGAAATCTTCAGGATCTAACAGTAAAAAAATCTAAAGTTACAGTAATCATCGTTACCACAATCTGGGGAATAAAAATATAGGAATGTAGGGATCTTGTGATTTAGTGATCTAATGATATAGGGATTTAGAAGTATAAAGATGTACAAACATACAAATCAGAGAGCATAGGAAATATAGGAATTTCAGAATAGGAATTTGCCTATGTAGGTATATGAGAATACAGAAAACGTAGAGGCCTAAACCATGAAATCGAATAATTTAAGCAATTATATTTCTCTACTAATAGATGTCTAGAAGATCCAGAAGTACAGATTTAACATTGCAAGAATCTGAAGATATAGAAATATAGAAATCTAGGATTCCTAAAACCTAGTGATGGAGCGATACAGATATTTAAAGCTATAATGATCTATCGTTTGAACGCTACGTTCGCGGCACACGCATCTCAGATTCCCCATTTTCAGAATTCAACATACTATAAAGCCCCATCCCGATTACTCACTCATGCATACATGTCGCAGTGAGATGATAATAGGGATTTGATCAAATGCCTACGGATCAATTCACGAAAGATAACAACTCTGTGGGATGATTCCCTTGAAGAAAATAAGTAATTTGATCAAATTCGGTCAGAGTTGACTTTTTTTTTCAAATACTTACCGTAGGAAAGCGAGTTCAGACACAGAAAAGAATCAAACTCTTGCAGAACTGATCAAATCACTTACTTTCTTCTAAGGACTTGATCAAATCCCTATTTTCTATTATCTTTCTGAAACATATACACGTACAGGCCAAACTGTGCCAATTATGATTTTTTATTAGAGAATCAAACTATCTTAAAATGGATCAAAACCCTTACAAAATTGTTAAAAGCGCCGAAACTAATGGCAGGCCTGGGAAGCAGAGAGCCCTATTTTGACAATAGAGAATCTGAGATGCGTCATGAAACCTAGTTTTTACGCAATAAATAATGTAAAATAATTTCCACTTACTTAAGCATGGGGTCGGTCTTAAGTTTGTCCAGTACAGTGGTATAGGGAACACCAAGGACCCTATCAATAATGTGAATCAATCCATTAGTAGCAGCAATGTTCGCGGTGACTACAGTTGCGTTCACACCACCACCTTCCACGGTCACAATCTGATTTCCGCTAGGCTCTTGAACCACATTGAAATACAGCTTCTTCCGGTCTGCCGCAGTGGACACCTATAATAAATTGATATACTTAAATAAATAACAGAACAAAATTAACTGTTGAATGTCAGTGTTAAATCAAGATGCTATAACACACAAAACATGTAGAGATTCCAGAAATTTTTGAAGTAGAATTCTAAATTAGCTGTTGAATCTTGGCCCGGTCAATTCGAGGAATTTGATGACTGTTATTTACAGGGTTTATTGAATGAAAGTTTAAATTAGTTGCAAAAAATATGACGAAATGACTGAACACTGTGAGCTGATGTTTAAAATAGGGGAACATTCAGAAAGAAAATAAATGGAATCGAAAGAAGCAGCTATTAGGTCGGTGATAAAATAATTGCGACTTTTATCTATTATGTTTAACTAATTTTTAATTAACTACTGAATTGAAACTTATTCATTATTAGCGTTCATTAGCTATTAAATTAATTAATTCATTACCTCAGGTTAAAAAATAATAATAAGAAATAATAATAATAACAAAAACTAGTAGATTAGTAGACTAAACTAGTAGATTATTACATTACAAATGATTGGTAAGAACAATTTGATTTCCAAATTTTTTTTGCCATTTTATAATTTCGTTTTGAATTAATATGATAAAATTGTATGATTTACTGCTTTCATATTTAATTTGTCATTGTAAAATGGATAAGAATAAACAATAAGGGTAAAATTACTCAAATAAACTAGTATCGTGAATTTTATGCTACTGAATGAAATATTAAATGAATGCGGAATTAACTGAAAGGGTTAACTTTAAATTCTTACTAATTACACTTTTAAATAAAACTTAAATTTAATTAAAATTGAGTATTGACTTTTAACTAACAAATTTAACAGAACGTTAATTTCAGTTAAATGCAAGTATTAATTTTAACTAACAAGTTAACTAAAAATTAATATTAGGTTAAATTCTACTATTAACTTTTTGATCTAAGTTTTTGAATTTTGATTTTGAATTTTTAATACTTCCATTTAAAATTTAAATGCAATCATGACTTCATTAGTCAAGAATCGCTGAATATAAATTTAGTTAAACTTAATTATTAAATTCTAATTATGAAGTTCAACTAAACAGTAAATTTAATTAACTTCTAGCTGGCTAGTTTTACTAGAAATGTAATTTAGTTAAATTTAAGCAACAACTAATAATTAATAAGTTCAATTAAGAATTAAATGTAGTTGAGTTTAAATAATAAGTCTTAACTAACAAATTTCTGCAAATCTTAAGTCTATTTAAAATTAAGTTTTACCTTTCAACTAATAAGTTTAACTAAATACTTAAGAAATTATAATTTAAATCTTATATATTTATAAGAAAAATACATACTATAGTCATAAGAGAAAACTTAAGTATTTAACTTACAACTAAAAATAAAATATTAGAAGCATAATTAGAAATGTTTCTTTGAAGCTTGAAGCCAAGATTTTGGTACCAATCTAATATTTTATTTTGAACACTGTATTTCTTCGTTAAAAAGTCAACAATTTCGCATAAATTAACCCTTAAAATTAAATTAACCCTTGGCTAGAGTCTTAAACGTCCCAGTGTGTCAGATATATTATTTAGGAAAAATATTACCATTAAAAATTAAAATACAACAAAATTGCAATGTTAATTATTTGACATCGTACATCTTAGTTTGCAACTTGGTAAATCATTGTACAATTAACGAAATACCCGGGCCACGATTTTATTCAAAGCACCACTGAAAGTCAGTCTCGTGCAAACAAGAACTCGTACATATCTAACTACGAGTTACGACAGAAGACGAGGACAAAGTTAAAAGTTATGCACGCTATCCTGCGAGAAAGTTTTCCGACAGTGAAGAAAGAACAGAATTGGAGGAAATGCAGTTAGATAGTTGGCAATAAGTCTTCCTTCGTTATGCGTTTACATGTATTCGAGCACAACGAAAAAGAGAGAATATATGTATAATGCAATAATTTCTTGAAAATATTCGTGATTCGGAACATTTCGTGTAGTTAATTTTATTTGCTTTCGTTGGCTTGTTATGTCGTTTCTTATCGTTTCTTTATTCTACTATTCAGTGTTCGTAAGTTTTGCTATTTAATAAGAGTTGTTGTTTGTGGAGTTTTAATAAATATTTGTTTAGAATTTATTTGTCATTTAGAGATTTTAAGAAGAAGAATTATGATTTTAATTATTATCTTTTTAGGCACGAAGCGTCTCTGATAGTGGCTTTTGCGAATACCATATTTCTACAGGGTGTCTCACAATTGGTGCAAAAACTCACAAACTTCTAAATTTCCTAATTTTCCAATTTACAAACTTTCAAACTTTTCAATTTTCAATTTTTTAATTGCTCAAATTTGTAAATTTCGAAGTCTTTAATCTTTCCAAATTTCCAAAATTCTAAATTTGTAGAATATAATATTCTTAAAATTCGAAATTCGCAGAATATAATATTCTTAAAATTCGAAATTTCCAAATTCCCAAACTCAAAAATTTTCAAATTCTTAAATTCTAAAATCAAATATTTAAGTATCCAATTTTTCAAATTTCTTAACTCTAAAATTGCAGATTTTTCAAATTTTCCAATTTAAATATATTTTAGTTCTTAAATTACTGAGCGTCAAATTTCTAAATTTTGACATTGTCAAATTTCTAAATGTCAAGATTGTTAATTTCGAAATTTCTTACCTTCCAAATTTTCAAATTGTTTAATTCTCAAATTTCAAAATTTACAATGTCCTCAATTTTTATGTTTTCTAATCCTCAACTTTTAAACTTAAAAATTCTAAAACTAAAAAACTCAAATTTTAAACTTTCTTCATTCGCAAACACAAAAAATTCCATAATTCTTAAATTCTCAAATATTTAACTGTACTAAATTATTTATTTTTTAAAAAATGTAATATACTTAACATTTTTGATAATAATGATTTAAATAAATTACATATTTTTGTCGCGATGTCATCAATATTAACATATTCAATACATTGACATCTTATAATTAAATTGATTAATAGATAAATTATTATCAATTAGAAGTTTATTAATTGATATTCAATAATTACTTCAATAGCTGGTATCAATAATTAATGTTTTCATTAAATAACTGATGGCTTCGCAACGTTGCTAAAATAATTTATGACCAAATCATGTCGAATTTCATGTAACAGTAGCACGAAAAATAATATAAAATTCATCAAAATATTTCATAAATGTTTAAATATTACTATTTTATTCTTTTTTTCAAGAAATGTTAGAAAAAATGATATACTTCATTATACTACTGTAAAAATTCAATAGGTGATTTACTGAAATTTTAATACAGCATATACTAAAATTTTGTAATAGCATTTAGTTCTATTTTTATGGTCTTTGTAATAAGACCATAATCATTTATAATCACTTATAATCAATTATTATAATCACTTATTATATCCACGTACAGCCACAAACAAAAGTGTCCTAAAGATATCGATTTTTATATTTTATATAATTTTATATCTTTCATTTTGACTTAAAAAACCTAACTTTACACGCACAAAATCACGAATCTGTGAAAATTCACCAAAAGCATCTTTGTAAAAATTTCATTATTTTCATGAAATACAGAACTTTTATCCGCAACGCTATACAAGTTTACATACCAACACAATCCACAACATAAAAGCCCGACCAAGGAAAGAAAACTTAAAGCAAGAAAGGAAGAGAACGTAAAGAACGTAAGAAGAGATGTGAAAAGAAGGTGTATGAACCGTTTGATACCATAATTCGTTCTTTCAGGCGGTGAACGTCGTTTAAAGTCGAAAATTTGTTTTCCCCTCAAAGCTGCCGCATTTGTTGGAAAAGTTTAATGAAAGGGGGAGAAAAATGGAGGAGAAACGTAGGCAGCAGGACAGAGTTTAAGAGTAGTGATTCCTTTTCCGGTTGATCCCCTTCTCATGAATTTTCCTATTTGCACTTTGCACCACTTCCAGTTACTTTTCTGATCTTGAGTTGCTACCGTATTCGTAGATAGATGCACCTACTGTCGAGGCTAGCTGCTTCAAAGGATAGATCGAATAAATTCCATGAAAATCCACGCCTCTCTTGCGAAGAATTTTCCTATAATCCTCTTTCTCCAACAGATCACTCGTCTTTCTTTTTACCTCTTTTTTATTCCTTTAGATCCATGTGCTTTCTATGTTCTTCATTTTACGCTTCATTCGATTTTCTACCTTTCTTCAGTTACAGATCACCCCTTTTCTTGCATATGCGCTTGTTCTTTACATAACCTAAAAACGTCTTTAGCACAGCGTAAGACATCTGTCTTTACCTAATTTTTCTGCTGTATTTAATACTTTTCTATGCTTTGTCATCAATTCATCAATTCGTCAATTCGTCAATTCGTCAATTCGTCAATTCATCAATTTATCAATTTATCAATTCGTCTTGAAAAATTCATCGTAAAAAATTCTCAAATTTTGAAATTATCAAACTATAAAATTTTCAAATTCTCAAACTCCCAATTTCTAAAATAATTAAATAATAAATTTTCAAATTTTGAAATTTAAAAGCTCCCAAATTCTGAAATTATTAAATTCCGAAGTCATCAAATTATTATAACATTAATGAATTATCAAATCATTAAATTTTTTAATTTCTAAGTTTGAAAATTTGGAAACTAAATATTTAGAAAAATAGAAAACTACAAAATTAAAAAATTTCGACAATAGCTTCTTACTAATTCTGGTAATTAAAAATAAAAAATCTAAAACCCGTCATTTTTGTGTTCCATAAATGTAGTGTTAATGTTGCTTTGAATTGCATTTCTGTTACTTACATATATCCATTCTGTAAATTCACCAAGTGAGAATGGCAGAAATTATTTGCGGCTTACGTGAGTCGAAGCATAGTCCTTAGCACAGCGTAAGACCGCTGTCTTTACCTAATTTTTCTGCTGTATTTAATACTTTTCTACGCTTTGTCGAGTCAAAGTACTTTGACACAGTCAGTGTTTAAGCGCGATAAATTTTATTAATTTTTAGTT